GAGCAGGGAGCCCGATGCGGGACTCGATCCTGGGACTCCAGGATCATGACCTGAGCCGAAGGCAGTCGCTTAACCAACTGAGCCACCCAGGCGCCCAGTCCCAGCAAACATCTTGTGCAGTGAGACTCCTATAAGCCCATGTTACAGAGGAGGAACTTCAGTCCCAGCAGGGTTTGAAGTGGCTTTCCTGAGGTTGCGCAGTGCGTATGTGCAAAGGTAGGGGGTGCACTCTTAGGCTGGTTTAGGCACTGGCTCTTAACCATTAGGCTGCACTGCCTCAATGAACGCTGTGAAGCCTGCCCGACCTCAGGCATCCCCAGGGCACCACACTAGCTCTTCTGGGTCCGGAGTCAGCTCCTAAGTCTGCAGTCTTTGCAGAGCTCCCAGGCTGCTTTCCCAGCGCTGGGCCTCAGGCTACCCCTTAGTAGGATGGGGCGAGCGGGGCTTTCTGATTGCCGAGGGTCTTCCTAAAGTTAATAAAGCAATGGTGGGAAGGTTCTTTATGAACAGGAAAGCACGCGGAGACCGTCACGGTTTGCTCTTTTTCTCCTCCGCATCCTGAAAGGGGAGGATGTTCTCCCCATTTCACATACGGGGAAACTGAGGCTCAGAAAAGTTAAAGTGCTCTTTCCAAGGTGATAGGGAGAGCCAGTAGGGGGTGTGTGCGCGGGGCAGGTCGGGGAGGAGGTGGAGCCCAGGCACCCCTGGAGGTCAGGTGAGGCGAGGGGGGCGGGGCGGGGCGCGCCGGGGCGGTGACCCCAGGGGCGGAGCCCGGCGGATGGTGCAATCCCGGGCCCGCGCGCAGGCGGTGGCCGATTAGCGCAGGTTTGCATCACCCGGGCCGGGGCCGGAGCCGGCGCTGGCGCCGGGAGACACTCGCAGCGGAAGCGCCGGCGGCTCCACACGTGTCCGGCTGCGGGGGGCCGGGGTCCCGAGCTCGGTCATGTCGCAGCGGGCCCCCGGCCACGTGGGAGTGCCCCGGCGACTCAGGACCCCTGCCGCACGCCCGGCCCAGGTACCCAGCGGGGCCCGAGAGGGGCCGGGGCCGCGAGCGGGCGGGGGTGGAGGGCGGGGTGCGAGGCTGCGCCCCCGCGAAGGTGGCGGCGGTATCCGGGGGGCGGAAGGAGGCGGGGACAGAGGTGTGGGAG